AATTATGTTCACACCCAAATTTACCACAAATGGCGCTTTGATATTTTAAACATTTTTTTTCTTTGTATTCCCAACAGGACGTATATATCCCTTACAATGCCTGGAGAACAATTTATTTTTCTGACCCAGGAGTATATATTTTCTCCCCAGATTAGCCAAACGTCATCTGGACTGACTTGTACAATGCAGAACCTTATGAACAATTAGCCAAACACAAGCAAAACTCCCACTTCTCGAGAGTAAGAAAATGTAAGCCAAGAGAAACACAATCAAAGTGCAGAGCGTGCCAGTTAGCCACACCTCCCCTGCCAGACGTTCCACCCAAACCCTTTCTTTCCCTTTGGGATTTATCTCTATAGAGACCATCTCTCTGTTCCACAAATAAAACCAGGCGTTGCTAGGAAACCGTCCGGCTTCTCAGGACTCCGCTGAAGTGGGGCAGCTGGTCCCTCCAGGGGTCTGAGGCCGCCCCTGACACGCGTGCTGCTGCGGGCACACCTGGATTCTCAGCGCGCCCCTGTCACAGAGCCCCAGAGAGAATGTATTTCTGGTTAGCCACAACGGCCTTAAATTGGTGACATCATTTGTACCCCAAATTCTTTTCTCCATCCTGGCCTTGCAGTTCCTCTTTTCCTCCGGGTTCCTCCCGATGTATCCCCTGGCCACCTTCCCTAATAGGGCCCTCAAGCAGTTCGAGTCACTTAATGACTCGTTCCATAGATGACACCTGTCACAGGACTGGTCCTACTAAACTTTAGAAAATTTCCACATGGCTTGGAGTTAGATTTTCAAACTTTTTGTATCAGATTTTTGTTACTTTAGAAGAAAAAAAAAATGACCTAATGGATCTTAACTCTGTTGGAGCAGATTTGGACACATTCCCTAAAGTCGCAACTACTGAGGCAGCCCACACTCCCTGTCCTGCCCTCACAAGTGGTTCGCGTCCCTCCTTTTCCCCCAGGTATCTCTACACCACCTAGCTGCTTGGTTAGGATTAACTGCAGGTCCAAGAGAGCGTCACAGCGGGGACTTAAGCAGAGGGGAAGATTGTTTCCACACATGGCAAGAACTCGGGAGCCCCAGTCCAAGCTCATTCGGACTTCTGCTCTGTCATTCCTAGCTTCAGTCTCGGTTGAGGTCTAATGGCTGCTCCACGGAGCAACAGTTCAAAGTGTCACATCCTGTCACCGCAGCCTCAGGTACAAGAGAAGGGGAAGTCCAATGACAACAGGAGACCCTGGCTTCTCACTGGAAAAGGAAGTTCCCCCCAAAGTCTTTCCCTGACCTCTCACTGGACAGAGCTGCCTCACAGCCCACTCCTAGGCTACTCACTCGCTGGATTACCATATAAGTTTAGAACTTTCCTGAGTCTGGGGAGGACCTACCTGCCCTGAGATCAATGGCTTGCTGCTGAGCCCATAATGAAGAAGGATCAGGAAACAGCTGTCAGTGAAAGCCCACATAGCTTCCACCTATGCCTCTCCACATGGGAGGGCAAAGTCCCCCCAGAACTGAGGCTCCCTCTAACCTAGAGGTCAGAATAGCCCATCTTAGCTCCAGGAGCAGTGGCTATCTCTCCCTGAAGCCGGGTCTCTGTTCACTCATTCTGAGGTCCCAGAAAAGCCAGGCTTCCTCTGAAACACAGCTGTAGCCTTCAGCTATAGGAATGCGCCACACTTAATGTCTTAGATGCTGGGACATGTGTCTTTCAGAGTCATTTGTTGCAGAAGACCTGCTGAAACCAACAACATGCGCTAGAACCCCAAGTATGTGGTACTGTCACCTGCAGGTGCTAATTTGTGTTCACCCCAGTCCCTTGAGAGGTCTGAGGGCGCCAGTTCTCTCTGCCCTGCCAGGGATCTAAAACACTAGAAAATACACTAAGAAGAACTAACAAACCCATGGAACTGAAACCACCATTTATTATTCACTCAGAATTCTCTGGAAATGGTGAGATGGGAAAATTAAGTGAAATCTCTCACTGCCTCTGGGAAAGCAAAAGCATGGAAGAAACTTCTGCTTCAGGTCCTAGGGCCATGACTAGTTCCAGACTAGCCTTCCTGATGGAAACAACTGTAAAACTGGGAGGCGGTGGTTTTCAGACATTGCACAACAGGTGGCTTAAGACGAAAACCCCAGAGAGAGAAGAATCTGATGAGGGGACTCTATGACCACCCAGGTCTCAGCCAGGGGACACTTCCTGAGTCCACGGAAGCTCCGACAAGCGGAGATCAGAGTTTGGATCAACAGGCGGGGGACGGGGAAGGGAAGAGCGATGGAGGGGTGAAGGTGAGAAGCGCACACAGGGATGCCCCCCAAGCCTTAGGCTGACGTCTAGACTGTACATGTGCGGAGAAACACGACCAAGGCTTTGTAGAGAGCAGCTGCTACAGGAGCTGGGGGTGTTGAAGTTCCTGGAGGTCCAGCCATGCTAGAGAACACTGGAGTTATGGCCCAGCCAGAGAAAAGAGCCCTGGTCGACAGCCCAGGCACCCGCTCAGACATCAGAAACGCCACTACTTGGGAAGAAGTACAACGGCCAACAAGGCCTACCATAGATCTAGCCTAACCAAGCCCTACACCAAGCCCTAACAAAATCCATAGCATAGACCAAGCTTGGAGGCTGAATCCCATCAAGTTAGAAGTGCCCGGGAACCACAATGGGCTTTCCACTGACCCATCCTCACGAAAGGGAAAACTATATTACTCATATATCTTAATGGGATAGAAGTTAACATTAAAGTAAAAATTGTTCTACAGGACTCAGGATTTCCACAACTTAGAATTCTCAACAGCCAATCTAAAATCAGTAACTGCTGGATATGCAAAGAAACAGGAAAATGGGATCCATGATCAAGAGAAAAACAGGTAATAAAAACTGCCCAGATACTGGGTTTTGCAAAGAACTTAATTAAATCAGATACATTCGATTCAATTCAAATAACTGAATGAAAATATGGTCTGAATGAGTTAACATATAGGGACTCTCATAAGAAAAATAAAATACACAAAAAAGAAAGAAGTGCAAATTCTATAAATGTAAAGTCAATAATTGAAATTTTAAAATTCCTTGGATGACAAGAGAATGAGGATGAAAATATTAAAAGTTAGTAAACTTGAAGATAGATAATATTTTTAAAATCATGTTAAAATGAAAACAGTTTTGTGAAATCTAAAAAGCTGAAGTTACATAAAACCAAAAGAATTACTTCCAAAGTCCCATCAACACTGTAAGACTTTTTGGTGAAACAATAGATATCAGAAATAAAAATACAATTTTTAAATCCTACCGTCCCCATCTTGAAAATATATTTAGACACATCCGGATAAAAATGCTGGACTCTTAAGACTTTTTCCCCCTTTTTTCATTGTTATAAGAAGAAACAGAAAAATAAAAATTCTTGAAATATTTTTCACCATTTAAGATTTCTTGTTATCAGCATGATTAGTTGAGTTACTTACATTAGTAAACACAAATCAATTTTATTTTAGTTAACATAAAATTCTTTGTTACTGAAAAACATAGATTTTAGTGGGTTGAACATTTTGATACACTGTCAACAAGTTACTCTGTTGTTACTCTGCCTTAAATCAGAGTTTGTCAAGACCGGTGCTACCAGGCTGCTGTGGGAGGAGGACCTGTGCGCTGCGGGGTGTGGAGTGGTATCCCTGGTCTCCCATTCCCTACCCCACTGTGTCAACCAAAGATGCTCAAGACATTACCAAGCGTCCTGTAGGGGGTAAAGTTGCCCCTGAATGAGAGGCACTGCCATAAACAAATAGGCCTTTTCCACCCCCCCTAATTTACTCCAAAAAAACCAACAAGAAAGATGCTTAGTTTATCATTTACAGTGAAAGCAAACATGTCTTTGTATTACAATACTTGAGGCTAAATTTTGAAAGGCATTCCCTTCTCTGAGTGAAAAACCTCCCCAACTGTGGGGAATGTTAGATTTTTTTTTATTTAACTTTTTTTATTTTTTTATAAATATATAATGTATTTTTATCCCCAAGGGTAAAGGTCTATGAATCGCCAGGTTTACACACTTGACAGCACTCACCATAGCACATACCCTCCCCGATGTACATAACCCCACCCCCCTCTCCTGACCCCCCTCCCCCCAGCAACCCTCAGTTTGTTTTGTGAAATTAAGAGTCAGGAATGTTAGATTTTTATTATCAGGTTTAATTTAGATTTTCTTTAAGCCCAGGCGGTAGGGTTTGGGTTTTTGCTTTCAATAAAGCAAATTTTATATTTCCTGGCATATGCCATTCATCATTTGCTCACCTATGCACAGCAAGTGCAAATCAGCTAAACACAGCTGGAACATTTTTATTAAAATAAATAGCAACCTATTCCTGAGTCATTTGTTAGGAAAATATGACACCTTCTTTACTTAACTGATCAAGGACACATCAGGAATTTCGAAATAAGAAGACATCACAGACTGCAAGTTGTTCTTCATGAAACTCAACCTTTAGAAACTACAGAACAGGGCAGCCCTCTCGGGTCCCCTCCCCTTTCAGGAGCTTTCTACTATCCCTTCACTATCGCTCAATAAACCTTGCTTTGCTGCCAAAAAAAAAAGAAAGAAAGAAAGAAAGAGAAACTACAGAACATTTTTTTCACATAAGTTATCTAAGTCTGGACATCTTTTTCACCAGTTTAAAAATATTAGTAAAAGTTAATATCCAATTCTTGCCACAATGGGACTACTGATCAAGGATACTGTGAAGCTTTAAAAAGAAAATATTATAAAATCTGCAGGTCCTAGCATTTAATCAGGGTAGAAATATAACCACAAAATTCACAGTGGCAAAGCTATTTATTATTGTTGATTCTCTCCTTTCTAAAGAAGAAAAAGTCCCAGAATCTTACTGGGTTTATTTGTGTGGTGTGTTCCCCACCCCACACCCCCCAGCAAAACTACACAACGGTGTTACGTCACAGTAAAACTGTCTGCTCTAAGTCGCATGCAGGCCCCTGTCACGTCACTCACCTATATGATAAAGTCCGATCCAGTCACTGGGGTCCACCTCCTCCTTAATGTCCCAGAAGATAATGAGGTTCTGGGCTTGCCCCAGCGTGTACTCGTACATGCTGGCAGTCAGGCTGGAGCGGCTCTCGGAAGTCACCAGGTCCGTGTCACTGTTCGCCCTCTGGAGGGTCATGTTCTCTGGCATGGAGCTCTGGGCGGCCAGGCTCTGGAGGTTCTCGGGGCTCAGTGTGTACCGCATCTGGGGATTTCGACGCCGCACAAAAAGCAGGTGCTCCCGGGCCGAGCTAGCCATCCCGCCTGCGCCTCGGAGGTTAGCTTCCTACAAAGCTGCGAGAGACACAAGCACAGGGCATTAGTGTTACAAGGCAAGGAAACAGGTTTAAGCTTCCCAGACATAAAGACCTAAAGAGTGTTTATTAAAGCCCGACCATGCAATAATCTTCTGCTGTCAAAATAAAACCTATTACTCTACTGTCAGTGGATGATGTCAGAAACGGCTCCTCCAGACGAAGGTCACTTAAAGGCAACGGCCATCACACACCTGCCGCCCTTGACTTCACGGAGCACGGCTTCCTCCTGGTAATCAAGGCAGGGGATTTCCCTACTAGCCCTTTTAGGTTTATCCTTTCCCCAACAACCCACCTGCAGAAACGGTCCTGTTTTCTTTCACCCCTACACGTACTTGTTTCCTGTTGAAATCAGATTTTAAAAAGCAAGACAGAAAATGTTGACATGGTTGAAATATGCCATTGAGCAAAGGATAACTTGCTCAATTTCCTTCGCACGGGAATGTAACCCATTAGAGTCTTTTTTAAGAACCTGCTCAAATGTCACCTCCTCTCTTAAATAAATACAGCGGCCACCGTCTCTAAAACTGCAACACCTCAGCCTTCCCCATCCCTCCCCTCTCCCTGTGTTTCTCTCTAACAACAATTATTACGATCTGATGTGCCACACAGCACCATGTACTTATATACTTAGTTACTGCGTACTCGTCCCAGCAAGAATGTCAGCTTGGGGAAAAGACAGTCAGTCTCCTCAGTAAATGGAGCTGGGCAGACTGGACAGCCACATGCGAAAGAATGAAACTGGACCCTTATCTTATAAAATACAAAAAACAAAAACAAAAAAACCTAAATTCAAAATGGATTAAAGATTTGAATATAGACCCTGAAGCCACAGAACTCCTAGAAGAAAACATAGGCCAGTAAGTATCTTGACATCAATCTTGGCAATAATTGTTTGGATCTGACACCGAAAGCAAAGGCAAAAAAAGCAAAAATAAACAAGTGGGACTACATCACACTAAAATGTCTCTGGACATTGAAAGAAACTATCGACCTCGAAGCTATCCTATGAAGCAGGAACAGCGTCCCGGTAGAGGGTGCAGGTAGTGACGGGGGAGATAAAGTGGAGGAAAGATGGAGGTCGTCCGTATCACTGTTTAACAAACATTCACACAGCACTGACTCTTTAAAATGATTTGGAAGACGTGTGTTTCTAAGTCAGTAGCCTCACATGCTTAAAATTTACCCTGTCTCAGTACGTTCATCTGTTAAATGGAGGTGACTTTAAAGGACCATGCAAGATTGTTGTAAGGAGTAGAAAAATCCTAAGTGAAAGTATTCAGCAAGAGCAATGACTGTTATTTAAGTAATAATGTAATTGCCGAATTAATTAATGCACTACTTAGTCTGGGGTAGCTCCAAGGACTGGAAGACAGTTAACCGAAATCAAATGCTACAGACAGACCTACCTTTACTCATGAAAAATCACTGTGAGTTCTGCCTTGTGCTAGATGACCCTGTAATTGGGAAAGAAGGAGAAAGCAGGCCATCCCTCCCCTGCCTCCCTATTCAACGTGGCTTCTGGCTTCCAGAAGCCAGAAATCAGCTACATGAGGAAACACAGCTAAGTTAAAGCTTCGGAACTCAACCATGTCTCTTAAATAACTGTTTCTACATTTAAAAAATTAATTCCAATTTCCAAACAATTCACTTGGGAAAGAACTTTTAAAGTTGAGGACCTACAAGCCGGGAACTGCACAAAGTGAGAGGGGAGATTAGAGAGAGAAGAAATTAGAAGACTCTCGGACACAGAATATGAAGCAAGTCCGTTGAAACCTCACTAAGAGCGATGAGCAGGGAGCCATTCCAGGGTCTCGAGCGGAAGAGTCAAAATATAAAATATAAGTATGACACACCATCTGAAAGCCTCCGCAGGGCTGGGAGGGAAACGGCAGTGGGGAAACCAGTTAAAAGCCGATTAGTTAAGGCATCCGGCCCTGAGAGTGGAGAAACGGATGTCAGTAACACAGAAAGGAAATAAATCAGTTGGGAATATTTCAAAGAAAGAGCCCAAAGACTTGGCAACAGAATGAATATGGGGATAAAAGTAGGGAGAAATTAGGACTAAATTCTGGATTTTCAGTCTAAGGGACAACAGAATCTCAGAAACACTAGCAGAGCTGAGAAAATCAATACCATCTTGGGTGGGTTTGAAGTAAATGAAACGTCTCCAAGGAAATGTCCCAAGGACTCTTGCGAGGGTGGGCCGGGTTTCTGGTTATGAGGCCAGCAGTAAAATAAATATTCAAATGCAAGTCTCTGCTTAATAACAGACATTATTTATTAATTAGAATCAACTATGCCAGTTCATCTAGAAAAGGCTTATTCGTTCGGGGTTTCAAAGCTTCATTCGGGGGGCGCCTGGCTGGCTCAGCCAGTGAAGGATTCAGCTCTGTTTCAGCTCAGGTCATGATCTCAGGGTCTTGAGCCCGTGTCTGGCTCCGTGCTCAGGTGTAGCCTGCTTAAGAGTCTCGCTCTCCCTCTGCCCTCCGCCCTGCCTCCTGCTCACACTCCTTCTCTCTCTCTCTCAAAAGTTAAATCAAATTAAATTTAAATTTAAAAAGCCTCATTCAGATATTTTACTCTATATAATTCAGATCGATGTAGAAGAAATAAAATCAGAAATTAGAATGCTTAGATTACAATGAGGGGCCACAATCCGAGCCATTTTTCCCCTCTAGGAAAAGTGATATGTGTTTCAGAGTTCATGTTTCCACAGTAAATAAGATCAAACATGATGCAAAAATTAATTCTCAAAGTTGCATGAAAATGAAAAAAAAATCAAACCACTCTAAATGTTATAGATAAAATTTTACTTTATAATTTTACTTTATTCAATGCAATATTCTCACATGGGAAAATCAGCTACTGAAAAGACAGAGAACGGCTGCTTGACACTTTCTCCTACTGAAATCGAAGAATTCTTCATTTGCTTCTTGGTTTTATACCTATGTCTTAGGCCATAAGAAAGACTAATTTTCTTCAGAAAATTATCCATGCTCTTCTGAAAAGCTTTAGAAGGTAAAGCTGATGGTAAGGGAAACTGATTAGTACGCCCCCATATTTGTTAACCAGAAAGCTGGTCCCTTCAAGATCCTTAGACAATCCATCCCATTCCGGAAGGACACAATGTAACCTAATGTCGCCCTCCTTAAACCCCCTCCCCCTTCTGCTGTGATTAGGTCTGCACTATGTGGCTCTCTCAGAAAACAGACATCTGCTTCAACAACAACCAAAAACAAAATCGCTCTTCTTCCAGAGGTCAAGAGAGATGCAATTACCAAGCAAATTGCAAAACACCTTACTATACAACTTCAGTTCCAAAAGCAGCATATTTGCGTAGAAGACACACAGACAGTAGCAGGTGACAAATATACTAAGCAAGTGTTTTCATGTAAAATATTTTTGCTCAAGAATCTGGAGGTGAATGTCAATTGACTAGATCTCACCTGAAGGGCAAGAACTGACAACATTCCTCGTCAAAAGACTTTTACAAACTAGAAATTTTACAAACTAGGATTTTAACTTCTTAGACTGGACACTGACAAGCAAAATCAATAATAACAACTTGGGGCACCTGGGTGGCTCAGTGGGTTAAAGCCCCTGCCTTTGGCTCAGGTCATGATTCCAGGGTCCTGGGATCAAGCCCCACATCAGGCTCTCTGCTAGGCAGGGAGCCTGCTTCCTCCCTCTCTCTCTGCCTGCCTCTCTGCCTGCTTGTGATCTGTCTGTCAGATGAATAAATAAAATTTAAAAAAAATAATAATAATAACAACTAACATCCTTATTTAACCTTTCAAATTAAAAACATATATATACCACACAACACCCCCCACACACACACGCACACCCCTGCTCAACTAAACTATGCTTCAAACTCCCATGTGTGTTTTACTACATAAATAAGGAAAACAAGGGGAGGAAACTGTGTCAAGAGACATGAAGGAAAACATAATTAGCCTCCAATAAGCAGAGATGTGAGAAATCTAGGAAGAAATGAGAGACCATCAGACCCCCAAGGCTAGCTGACACACGAGATGAAGAAAGCCATCACCAAAATCTCAACTGAACATGCCTCCCCAGTGGCTTTCCGCCGTATCTGCTGTTACAAGAAAGCAATCATAGTCATTACTCAGTGCTTCATACGTAATCATAACCCCAATGCTCAGCTTCCTCAGCAAAAATGTTCTAGCAGAATGATTAATACCAGAAAATCCCTGCTCTATGACTTGCCAGTAAATGCACCCAGGATACCACGGCGTTTTACAGAGAGTCCAAGATGACTGAAACTGCCCCTCCCTTCCGCTTCCTCTCAGACAGAGAAGTATCAGAAAATTCCATTTACCCGCCAGGCTGCTGCTCTTTAAGAAAAGCCTCACCTTCTTCTCACTTCATCAAGTAATATGTCAGGATCCACAACACAAAGACAGTCCACTTGTCAGTTTGGAAAAGGAATGTACGCAAATGGGGAGAAATAATTTTAAGTTCCAAAAGCTTTTCATTTTTTTTTAAAGATTTATTTATTTATTTGACAGACAGAGATCACAAGTAGGCAGAGAGGCAGGCAGAGAGAGAGGAAGGGAAGCAGGCTCCCCGCTGAGCAGAGAGCCCGATGTAGGACTCCAGCCCAGCACCCTGGGATCATGACCCGAGCTGAAGGCAGAAGCTTTAACCCACTGAGCCACCCAGGCACCCCAAAAGCTTTTCATTTTAAAGATTGAGTCCAACAGCTCTTGCAAGAGGTGGTTTAAGCCTTAAATCACTAAATATACAGTTAGATAAATAAATAAGAGAAAGTAATTTATATTTGGCTTCATTCTTTTTAGTTCTTTCAATTCAATAAGGTTTTTAATTCAATTATGAAACTTTTCTTCGCAGGTGTGAATGGGTAATTCCCAAAAGATAAAAGTTAAATAATTAATATTATGTATCTAAAAACACGTTTTTAAAAAATGAGATATAATTTTTTATCCATTAAAA